CTTATGTGGTGCTGAGGAATCGAACCCAGGGCCTCATGCATGCAAGGCAAGCGCTCTACCACTGAGTCACCTTCCCAGCCTGCCTTAGTTTTTCTTATTTGGCTAATAAGGATGTGAATCTGCCGTAGACATGAGACAAATTGCTGACTGTTCTTTTTGCACTTACATTTTCCCAGAGTTGACAGTACTGTTAAAAGTATGTCATCTACCTCTTTCTTCAGAACATAAAGTCATGCCCTTTTCCTGTTTCAAATCATTCACCTAGTGGATCATTGACATTTTTGCCACCCCACACCCCAGGAGCATGGTAATAAAATCTGTAAAGTACTCACTCATTTGTACAGAGAACTAAGTGACTTCTAATAATCACATACTTTTACAGTGTGAGTACCTGTCCTAAGTGAGTTAAACAGGGCAAGTCATTTGTTTTCTTGTTTGCTTTGAAGAAGTTAAATTTTCATCCTTGAAAGATAACCTTTCCTACCATTTAATTCGTTACCTTGAAGTCATAATTTCCAATTTGACATCTCTTAATTGGTTTTGGAAATAATTATGTCACAGATGAAGACATTTATGACTTCAGCTCTGAAGCAGAGTAGGACAAATGGAATTCTGAGTCACACGGACTAGCAACTCTTGTAGATGGCTTCTGTTTCCAGTGTCTTATTTTAAAATAAATAAATAAAGGTAACCCAAACCACTGGTGTGTTTTTGGGACTGGGTCTCACTATGTAGCCCAGTCTGTCTTACCCTCCCATCCAACCATCTTCATCAGCCTCTAGAAAGCTGGGCTTACAGTCATGTAACACCAGGTCCAGCCTCAGACTATTGCTATTGATAGTGATGGGTGCTGGTCTGCCAGCACTTTGATCTCTTATTTTCTCCTAGTAGTATATGATCTTTGGGCATGTTAAATTAGTCCTGTTGGGTTGGGGGGAGTTTTGTTTTGTATCTTGTGTGAAATAATACTGTAAAATAAAATCAGGAATTAGGAATTTTAAAATATAGACATCAAAATAAATCTGACAACAGAATATCTCTGTTTTTTTAGTCTAGTGCTTGCAAGACACACTAACAGTAGTTGACAGATTTAAATTATTGGGTTTTGATGTGGTTTCTATCATCACTGATATCCAGCAGTGAGTTAAAGTAGAACTCAAGTCCCATTCTCAACTATACTTCAGAAAATGATGAATTTCCTAAATTGAGTTGTTTAAAGATTCTGCAGCCAAAAGTTTCATATTTACTGTTTGATGTGTTACCTTCAACTATATTCAATGGTGACTTTTAACTGATAGAGTATGTACTTTCTCACCTTATAGGGTAGAATGGTCTCTATCCTTTTTTGTTTATACACTCTGTCAAAAAAACTACTAATGCTCCCAATAT